CTTCGTCCAGCCATATAACGCTTTGTGCTTATGTTCAAATCTTTAGCTGTGCAAAAGAATGTTTTGTCTCAATTGCGATTGCGTGTCCTTTCACACCGCAGGAAAGGTGTAAATAGTGCAGTCATTGTGCGTGCTGTCTTACTGGGACACTTGAATAAAACAAATAGGTTAGTTTTAATGTTATAAGAACCACCTGTGGGTCTCCAACCATTATCAATTAAATGACTGCTCTGAATAAAACAAATAAAGCATTATCTCGATGACCCTTCGTGAGCTACTGTACAATTGAACAAATGCCACCAGGTAAAAATCGTCAATTAAACAAATTTTAAAACAAGTACTGATAGTTTTCTACTTTTCTGGACGTGCATCCAGTCAATTAAACCACTAAATTGCTTTGACTTTAGACTCTTAAGGAACATCTAAAATCACAGCTCCTTTATTTCCCCCGACTTAATCAGTCCTTTGCACTGGAAGAAGGGCTCCTGACGTGGGCCGCGTCCGAGGAAGGTTTTCAGCATGTCCAGGCCGTCCACAGAGCCCCCGGCCTCCAGAATCACCCTCCTGTACTCCCTCCCCACCTCCAGAACACATTTCGCATTAAAACAAAAGAGATGTATGCTTCCAAATTAGGGGGGGGGGAGGAATGCAGATAGGGTCACGTGACATGTTGCATGTTAGGCATGCACTTTTGCTGGAGCGTAAGTTACCTGCAGAGCGCGCGGCAGACCACAACTCGCAGGGCAGACATGTCGGCTCTTTCCGTGCAAACAAAAAATAACAAAAGGAGAAGAAGAAGAAGAAGCCCTTCGTGTTCCTCTCACTGCGGCTCAGCCAGAAAAGGGCAGCGACCATAAATATACATCAAGGCAGCGACAACGGGCAGCGCGCTCCCTTCTCCCTCCTCCGGGGAAAACGCGTCTTACTTCCGCGTTCGCCGCGCATGCGCAGACGAGCGTCACATCCCGACATCATCATCATCATCGTCGAGTCCTCATGACGCCGCAGCCGCAGCAGCAGCAGCGGACAGCTGGAGAAGAGCTCAGGTAGGACGAACTGTTGTTCCTAAACCTGCGTGCTGCTGTTTGAATGTCGGGGTTGGGGGGGTCTTTCTCCTCCACACGGGGGGCGTTTAGCCAGCGAGCCTCCTCTCCTTTAACATGCGACGTGTCTGCGTGTGCAACGCCTCTCAAATCTATCAACACATGTAACGTTACATCATGGCTCGTTGGCGCGTGCCAAACACGCAACACGCAGGGAGCCGCGGCTGTGCCAGCAGGTCCCTAATTACCCCCCCCCCACCCCCCCGAAAAGGCATCTCCCAGTACGTTTGTATCTGTAAATAACGTTCCCCGTATCGGTCCCCACCACTGAGCGTTGGGCCTCAACCCCCCCCTTCTGCTACGAAGGAGAGAAAAGACAGAAGACAAACAAACAAAGACAAAGCTTCTTTTCCTTTTTAGATCAAACACGAATCGCATCCTCCTCCCCAGTTGTCTTGACAACAAGAACCGGATGCTGATCGGCAGCGTTGCAGTAGTGTTGGATGGATGTGATAAAGTGATAATGTGGTGCTGTTGATATCACTTTGGGCTAATGGGAGCCGATACAACAATAAGCTCAGACTGCAGGGTCCATGACGCATATGCAAAGACCTTCACTAATGCAATTAATGAGAGTACCCCAAATCATTTGTGGGCCAACATTTAATGAGCCATCAAAAATAATAAGAATGCTAACACTGGATAGTCACAGTAATCATTATATCAATCAGTCACACAACATATTATCCGCCTTCTTCATGATGTATTAGAGGCACTTAGAAAGATCTTTGCATCTGACCACCATGTTGATAAAGAAAACATCCACAGTTCTCTTAGAACATGCATCACTCTGTAAATGAATGGGTTTGGATGTGGCGACTTAAACACAAACGTATCAACAGATGACCAACTAACGACCAAGGACTGATAGTGAAGCTCTTTTGATATAGTGGCCACTCACAGAACTGTTGTTTGCATGCATTAGTTATGCATCCTCACACAAAGTTTGACCCTATATGAATGATACAGTCCTTTTTGTCCCGTCCCGCGCGTGCAGCAGATTTTAGGAAAACATGGCAGTGGAGAAGCGTCTGGCGTTCTCCATCGTGCAGTTCCTACGAGATCAAACCCACTGCGGCGCTTTGAATTCCGACGAGCAGGAGAGCCTGGACGGTAGGTCAACTCACCGTGCACTCGCACCGTCCAAAGGCAGGACACCTGTCCCACGTCCCAAGTCTGCGTGCAACAGATCTTGGTACCCTGACGAGGAGAGAACCAACAGGAGCAGGTTTTGTCATCAAAAAGAATCACAATTTAAGATGAATTGAGGTACAATGTGGCTTGTTTCCTCGCTCATGAACAGGAGAATTTCTCCCTCCCGAACGTGCAGCCAAAGCTCTGACTCACCGTAATAACACGGTTGACTCAACGACTGTTTATCTGCCTACCTAAAATCTCTCGAATGTAATTTACATCAGCAGCATCGTCCTCTCTCCCTGCAGTCGCCATTCAGTGTTTGGAGACGACCTTTAAGATCAGCTCCAGCGACTCCCATCTCGCTGTGCCACAGCCTCTGGCGGACATATTCCTCAATTCCCTGCTGAAGGTGGGTGAGCTGCATCATCGTGCACTTATAGATGACTGCGTGTTTAATGAAATGAGTTAAACATTTGTGTCCATCATAACAACCTTCTGTTTACATCACAGCCACTAATAATTTCCCGTCCCAGTAATAGTTGTTGTATTTTGCATTTGGGTAGAATGACAACATCAGCAAACCGGAGACCTCCCCGTCTCCAGAAGTCATTGAACGAGCAGAGCAACTTAAGAATGAAGGTAATTTAAAGCTTTTTCATTTAAATTCCAAAACAGTTCACATCCCCGGCGAGAAGGGATAAGAAATACACAAGAAGCCAAAGAAGGAGCCAATGTTAAGAGGCTAAAACGGATGATGTGATTGGACCTCCTGGTCCCAGCAGCTTCTGCCTTTTGCTGTTTTTAACGTTTTATAGTTAATCAAGTTTTAAAGCTAAATGGACGTAATCAAAGCCACTTTTTAGAATAACACAATCCTACTTCCACACTCCTATATTTTCAGGCAACAATCACATGAAGGAGGAGAACTACAGATGTGCAGTGGAGTGCTACACGAAGGCCATCGACATGGACCTGAGGAACGCCGTGTACTACTGCAACAGGTATTTGTTATTGATTTAGCGCGGCGGCGGCATTGTTTACCGCTGGGCAGCGATGAAGCTCGGCGTGTAACACTCCGCAGGGCTGCGGCTCACAGCAAACTGGGGAATTACACCGAGGCCACTGGTGACTGCGAAAGAGCCATCGGGATCGACCCCACCTACAGCAAAGCGTACGGCCGGATGGGGTGAGTCCTGTGGCGGCTTTTCAACAGGAGATCTGCACCAAAAAAAAAAAAAAAAAAAACTCCACGTGTGTCCTTTTTTCCCCACTCGGGGCTCCAGTTTGGCGTTGACGGCCACGAACAAGTACCCGGACGCGATCGCCTACTTCAAGAAAGCCCTGGTGCTGGACCCCGAAAACGACACCTACAAATCCAACTTGAAGATCGCGGAGCAGAAGCAGAAAGAAGCCACCAGCCCGGTGAGTCCAAACGCAGTGGGCTCTCCTCATTGCGTGACGCACGGGTGTGTTTTTACACGGTGGCCTTGAATGTTGTTCCTCAGATAGCGGCTGGGTTGGGGTTCGACATGGCCAGTTTGATCAACAACCCCGCCTTCATCAGCATGGTAAGCGCGCGTCAGGATGCAGCCAATCTAAGCCCGCGGGGACGCGAGATGATTCTAAACTAGGAGACAGTTGTCCTCGGATGTACAGCTTGGATTTGTGTTCACAGGCCGCGAGCGTGATGCAGAACCAGCAAGTTCAACAGCTGTGAGTGTTGAAATGAGTTGGCGGCATTGAGAGCGAAGGGTTTGTAGACGTTGTCTGACTCTCTGTCCTCGTGCCGCTCAGTATGTCAGGAATGATGTCCAACGCAGTCGGGGGTCCTGCAGCCGGAGTGGGCGGACTGTCGGACATTTCCAGCTTAATTGAAGCGTAAGTATGCTTGATTTTTAGGTGACTGCTCGATGACAGAGAGTTTCATATGAGTTATACATTTGACTTTTTTTTAAAACTATTTTTTGAACAAATATCTTTTGATTTTTTCTTTCAAACCATTTTTTACCTAATATTTATTTTTCAATTGTCATGCCATTTTTCGATCTTCATATTTTTTTTCAAAACATGTTTGACCTTCTATTGCTTTACTTTATTTTTCATGACATTTTTCGACCCAATTTATTTTTACATTTATTCGAAATATTTTTTCCTGAGATTTTTCGACCTCCATGTATAGATTTCTTTTTAAAACATTTTTTGCGACCTATGATTTCTTTTCTTTTTCTTTTATGACATTTTCTTTTAACATATTTAGACTTTTTGACCTAATATATTTCGACATTTTTTTCTTCTTTCTGTACTTCTTCCATGACATATTTCAACATAACATATTTTGACTTTGTTTTAAAAAAGATTTTTACCGAAACAACATTTTTTAACAAAAATCCACAAACCATAAGGGGAGCTAATTTGGAAAATGTAGATTAACCAGGTGTGTAATATAATGTGAAATATCAAAAGGTACTGTGGCTTAAAGGCAGTTTGTAGCTCGTCTTCGCTCGGTTGGCCTTCAACGTGTTTGAGTGGTTTTGGGAGCCGTTGCCCTGCGGACGGCCTTCCAGCGGGTGAACACACTTATCTCTCCACTCGGTCAGGGGTCAACAGTTCGCCCAGCAGATCCAGCAGCAGAACCCGGAGCTCATCGAGCAGCTGAGGAACCACATCCGGAGCCGCTCCTTCAGCGGCAGCGCCGAGGAGCACTCATGATCCGCTCAGGTGATCGGAGTTTTAAACCCTTGCTGATCTCGTGTGACAACGACAAAAAAAAGGAATATATTTGTATCACTAACATTATTTATTTTTTTCCAGTCACACGTTACTTCATTTTTTTCCGAGGAAGGTCAACCACATGACGCGATTACAATCTCTTCACCCGTTTCTTGAAATCACTGCTGGAATGAGGAGACGAGGATTTGGCTGAAGGCACTTTACTGCGAGTAGAGACGAAGGCCGAGGGACCGGACCACGAAATGAAGCATCCCACCCACGCAGGGCAAAACGCATTGTAATCACCGAATCATCAAAAGAGACAGGAACTCATTAGTAAATAAACCCGCAGAGCTCGTGTTTTATATGTGCTGAAAATACTGTCCTCTTCATGTCTGCAGCTACGGGTCCTTCTGTCTAGTCGGGGCACTTCTGAGAGGGTTGGGGAGGAATGTACTTCTACAGCATCGCAGGGAACATCTCGGCTTTTTCTCACTCAATAGCGGCAACACATTGTTTACATTTAATATTATTTTTGTAGACCGAAGACGCATGTTATAACACTCGCTTATTGGGACCTAAGACAACCATGTTATTGTATAGCAGTGTTTGCAGCCTGCATTGTGTTGTTATTGCACTTTAGAACATAAATATCTCCCCTTTAAGCATATTTAATCGTTGAATTACTAGTGACAGAGTATACAGATTGTTCCCCATTGCATGCTCTTTTATCTGGTATTTGGGATCAGATGCTTTATTGAAGAAAATAGCTATACTAGGACAGCGCAAGGTTTTGTCTAAAAACATGTGAATAAATGTCTTGAAATCCATCCAGTTATTTTCGTTTTTCTGTCATTACTTCATGAAGGAGGCGCGACGTCCTTCGCGTTAAATAAATCACCGGTGACAATCATTCAGAATCCAAATCCCTTTAGCAGGCTCACACTTTAAAGGGGATCAGCACTAATTGAATCCGTGTTACCCTGACGATGTCGTGTCACCTCATCGCGGTCTTGGAGGCTGATGATTAACAACAGGACGCCTGCGTGACAGACAATTTTCACAAAAGTATCTGTGCATTTTCAAAGATGCAAAAACACAATGAGCACCGCGATGATCAAAGATTGCAGATATTTTAATAACATGCATTCACATTTACATTATTATTTTCAGAAGAAAGAGATTTATATTATTCACAATTTTAAAATGTACAGTGCGATCTCCTCAGGTTGCATAAAGAGGCAAATGTCAGAGTTATGTGCAGAATTCCACTGTTGGTCCATTCACATCTAAAATGCAAAGCTCCTTAGCGCTCATTGCTGGAGTACGGGCAGACCACGCACACCTGTGCGATGTCGTCATATTCGTACGTCCTCTTCAGAAACGTATCCGTCAGTCTCAATCCGGAAAGGCTCTGAAACAAGGACGTGAAGCGCATCAGTCAGCGCCAGTGTTACGAATCCACAGTTTTTCCTCTGGGAGTCTTGAGTCCTACCTGCAGACCCTGGACGGAGGAGAGGAGTGTGAGGGGCAGGGAGAGGAAGGCCCCCGGGCAGAGCTTCCCCAGCTGGCGCCCCGAGACGCCGCACCAGTGGATGGACCTGGTGTTGCACATCTCCAGCACCAGGTCCATGGTTCTTTCGCTGCAAGTCAGGAGAACAAAGAACATGTTGCTTCTCGTTGCTGTGTCAGACTTGTGATCCTGTGACTTTGTCAGTCTTTTTTTTTTTTACCTGCAGTTGGTGATTCTACAGATAATGTCGAAAGGTTCCTCGAGGTTGACTGTGTCAGGAATCACCTCCAAAGACAGCCGGATGTCTCCATACCCTGGAGCCTGGAAGATCACAAATTAAACCGAGGAAAAAAGGAGAGGTTCTTTTATTTTGGGAACCGTAAACGAGGCATCCCGGTACCATTCTTTGCAGCTGACTGGTCTGTAGCCTCCCTCTCTCCCCGAGATTGGTCTTCCACACGATGTCCAGCTTCCCAATCACCGTCACGCCCTTGATGACGCCGGCCTTCTCCGCGTACTCCGGCTTCGGCTTGAGGCAGTACAGGTACTGCCGCGTGTCCATCGGCTGCAGGTAGGACATTTTGCCAAATGTGGACTCTCTTGCAGTGGAAAAAGCAACGAATGAGAAAACAGCTGACGGCAAACACATCGACGAGAAGGAACGGGAAGTGCGCTTCACCCGTCGTCTCCGCTGGCCACCGTGTTGAGCTCCGTGACGTTGTACATCATGGAGGGCTCCAGAGATACCTTCTCCATGAACATCGGGGAGGTGGTGATGTTCTGGATCTGAGCCTCCAGGAACACTTCATCCGTCTGGATGCGGAGAAGCCAGAGATCACTAACTCGGGTTATTTAATCACATGATCTCTAAGGCAAGCTGAGCAACGTCCTCACTGGTTGTTAGGAAAAGGGGGGGAGGCGGTGTGCAAAGGGCAGGTTCACATTCGTCCGTGCGCGTCCTACTCACGCGGCAAGAGTTGTAAATTGCTGCGACATTCCTCCTGCGCCCATAAAAATGCCTTGTAGGGTTTCACCCAAGCGCCTAAATGACGCTTCAGAAGTCCGAGTTAGACTTAAGCATTTGGCTTCTTACAGAATTTGCCTTTTTTTTTTTGTCTTCTCTCGTTTTATCGTCCCTGCGGCTACTTTGTAAAATACCCAAACGACTGTGAGGAAATGTGAACATATCCTTGCTTCTGCTCGGTGGGTGATGTGTGAGTAGAGTAACGGCTGTCAGATGAGACAAACATTAATTGCACCTCGGCGTGACAGCGGATTCTGTGGCGTTTGCTCAGCGTACCTCTGAGGACGGGGTTAGTGCGGCGGCGTTCAGTAGCGGTTGCACGCCGACAGATTTCTACCAATCCACAGTTGACTGAGGCCACTCGTTGATGCTCTGGGGAAGTAACTCTCTGTCAACCGCGGAGTGCAACCTCTACGACGGCCAGAAGCAGTGAGGAGGAGCGGAGAGCAGCCCACGCCTTGCGCTCGTAACATGGACTCTTATTGTTAAATCACAGAGCTCAGCATCCCTGTTCCATGCAAGGCCGTTTCAACCGACACGCTGGAACCTCACAGTTCGTTACGTGTGATCACGTGCGTTTGGACCCACTGGGAAATGATCGGAACAAGAACGAGATCTGGGTTTCGTGATCACTGAGAGGCAGAACTTCACCGGCTGAGACTCAAATGTTACGTTTGAGAATAACAATCACAGTGTGGTATTATAAACCAGTGATCCCCGCCCCGTTATTCCGCCGCACCTTCTCCACCGGTCCGCAAAATATTGTCTGACGTGAAAACGGTCCGTGAGGTAAAAAAAAAAAGGTCGGGGACCACTGTTATAAACCACATAATCAATGCACACACCCCCACCGCCACCCATTAACACCACGCACTTCAATTAAAAAGGCCAAGCCCTGTGAAAGGGTGAGCTAGCGAGAAAGCGCAAGCGTCCAAAGAAAGGGCCGAAGAAGAAGAATGGAAGGTTCACGACCAGGTGTGAAACAGATCAATGTCGGCGCGTCACTTGTTTGCGTTTGACTAATCTAGGGGGCCGGTTGGTAGGATTGGTGTATCCCTTTCCATTCTTCTACTTTGCACCTTTCTGTTGGCCCCCAGAGAGACGGGGCTGCTGCACCGAAAAGGATGAAGAGAAGCCGATGTTGAGCAATGAGAACAGAAGGGAACAATTACCACAGAACTGAGGTCACTCTAATGGAGAAAACAAAATACAAGACATAATGAACAAATGAAGTTACATGCCAAAGATGATGACAATGAATATTTGCGCGACGATAATAAAGGCTACTGGTGTGAAAAAAAAAAAAAAAAGACACAAAGCGGGTTTCCTCTGTGAGGAAAACACTTGATCTCCAACTTCTGAATACAAACTTTTACAGTGTCTTTTTTCTGTTTAGTCGACAGTACTGGAGGTACAAGGGTTTTCCAGGAGTCCATCCATAAACTAACTGCCCCTAATAGCACATGGGAACGTTCCTAACTAGGAAATGAAATATGAAATGAAGCACGTTGTATGCTACAATAACGACTCGCATGTCATACAACGGGGCTATTTGCATGAGGACGAGGGGAATGGCGGCGTGTTTGAGAGCGGCACCCTTACCTCCGCGTTGTAGAACTTTGTCTTCACGTCCAGCGGCTTCAAAACCTGATTGAGGATAGATTGCAAACTGAACGCTGTTGTTTTCTCACACTGTGCATCCATTAGGCAGAGATAGAGGAGATACTTCTGAAGCAAAACACAACTGCAGGATCTTCAGCTGACAAAAGGAAGGAAAGGGGAGTCTGAGGGACCATACTGCAAGCGCTGCTGGACCCTGCCGAGGGTACAGAGCTGGGAGGGTGATCGCCTTTTCGACCTGTTGAGGACCTGTGATATTTCTCAGGTCCCTCCCAAGCGCACGCCGCTGTCGTCTAACGGGAACGCGCAAACATCCCTCACCTGGAATTTGAAGAACTTCCGGAAATAGAGCTTCTCCCCGTACTGGGTGGTGTAACTGACGGCACAAACTAGGCTGCGAATTGGAAGGAAAGAAACGTTTAGAATACCGGAGCAACACAAGCACCGGTTTTGACCTTTGCAAAGACGGCGGCCGTGCTTTGAGAGAAAATCACTCACATGTGCGTCCCAATTTCTTTGACCTCGTGGTGGATGACGTCGTCGATGCAGCTCTCCGGTTTGAGCTCGGCCACTGCAGAGTTAGACGCCGAGAGGTTGAGCCTCTGTGAGCTGGTCTGAAGGTCCGCCTGCAGGAGATCACGGGGCCACAAGAGCACAGCGGTGGGTAAAAACCCGGGGAGCAACGTGCGCGACGAGGGCTCGAAAGAGGCCTTCGTTTACAGCACCTTCACGAGCACGTCCTTCACCACCTGGATGCTGTCGTTGTGCACACTGATGTAACTGGAGAAGGTCTCACCGAGGAAGATGTTCCTGTGGGGAAAGGTCAAAATCTGTCGACTTCGAGAACAACGGTTTGCTCCGCAAAAAGTACTCGCCGCTCATTGGTCGATTCACCAACAGCTGGTGAGCGGTACTTACCCAAAGTTCTGAGGAAGCGTCAGCATCTCCCCCAGCATTAGCGCCTCTGCTCCTTTGATGGTGGAGGGGTCCTCCCTCATTAGCTGACCAAACAAATCCCCTAAAAACACAATGAGACTTAAACATTGGAGCCCTCCCTGAGTCGAAGACACAAGTGACTTAACCAACCAATAACATGTGTGCATGTGTGTTTTTGCTATGAAGACATTACCAGGCACCATTTCTCGAACTGTATAAAAGAAGTAAAGTCCAGAACACAAGTTTATTTATACCGATATATAGAACCTTCCCATGTCAAGTTGGTTCGGGTATGAAAGCAAGGGGTGTTTTTGGGTTCAAATCTGTGTATGAATATCAGGATTGCTACTCACACATATAAACCCTGTTAGATCAATGACTCAACAAGCAATTCAGCTTTGTTTCCTCTTCCTACTACTCTTATGTATGTAGTAACTGATGTCAAAACCAACTTATTCCTCTTTGTGAACGATGAGATAAGCCGTGACTTTGTTAAAACTCTTGTATAAAGAGATTCTTCTGGTAAGTGTCATTTGGATTTATGGTTTGCAGCAGTTGCATTTCCCTGTCATATAATTAATTTGAGGGGAAAACAAGAACTGAACTCCTCCGCTGGGGAAAGGATATATGTAATACACATGTGCACTGGATTTAAAGCAAACGCTATAAAAAGTAGGCTAGCAGTTTGAAATTCATATGATATGGCTTTTTCTTTTCATTATGATTACGTTTTATGACATTAAGATACGTGCCATTAGTTAAATATTTTAACATTGCCGCATCCTTTGCCTAAAGGGGGATGTGAAAGCGTCACACAGCCACAGACAATATCTGCTATTGGTTGAAAGTCGTATTTGGAGAAGAGGAAAAGCAGAAGCGATGCTCTCAGAGACACTAAAAGTAGAACTAAGAGAACTTCCAGCTTGTTGTCGGTCCTTACGTTGTTTTCCATTGTGCACCTGATTATGAAATGTTGATACAAACTCCTAACTTGTGTTCTAAAACCCTGTTGCCAGTTTCCAAATTACAGTCATGGATTTAATTTAATCGGAATAGAATGCAAAGGATGAGCCTGAGAAGTCCGGTGAAACACCCTGGATCCTTTGAGACTACTCCGTTGTCGTACAATAATGCACGCAACAACTCGCAATGCATGAAAAAGAAAGACAATTTTCCTCCCATAGTGCAAAGAGTTGTCTTAAAATGACAACTCACTAGATATTTGATTAACTTTTTGTCCCCAAACTCTGTTTGTTGGAATGTCAATATTTGAATGGCCATTCAAAAGGCATCCATGGTTGCGTGTTGCTGCTGTACTGGATCAACCAACAGCTCTACGGATGTCTAAAGCGGATCAGGCTTACCTGGCAGATCTCGATCTTCACATGTCACCGGCAGGTTGGTGAAGAGTGTCGGTTTTGTTAACCGCATCACTGTAAAGTAAAGGGACGTCGGTCAGTGACCGGACACACAAGTCGGGTGAAAGATGATGTACTATTTAGCAATCACCCTGTCCGGTTTCATTACGACGTATGACCACGACAAACAGGTCATCGTCTATCGTGGTCTTTGTGGCATTGCGATGAATCAGTTAAAACGTTTCAACACGCTTTGCTTTGTTGTCTAGGTGAGGCACAGAAATGACAAGTCTCTGAGTGTCAGATGAATCATTTAGTACTCCACCTTTTATTAATGGTCTGGTGTTAACAGGAGCATTTTAGCAGCAGTCACCTTTCAACAAAAACGTAACGACGAGAATGTGCACTGGATCCATATTCACAAAGCAAGAATATGCTGTGCAGGGCTGTTACTTATGACGTCTTACAAATACTACACATGTAAGTTACAACCTTTAATGGCTGCACATTCGTCAGCAAAGGAAGGAGGTTTTTAGACTGACGCATTAGTTTGATTCACACAGATAATAAAACCAGAGGGTACAATTCACAAATCTGTAAACAATGTGTTTGTTAGCTAAATTAGCTAACAACACAACCGACATGCTGTAATATATTGCTTAACAGCGTCATACAACCTCAGCGTTGGTCAAGTATTATAAAAGGTAAACCTGTCACAAATAGTGCCGGTTTATATAGAATCGAATGTAAAATATTGGGTAGCGCTATTAGAAGCTAAAATCCACAACAAATCACCAGTGCATTCAAATAATAACGCGTCCGTTCCTCCCCTGCATCATCATCTAGAATCGGATTATCAAGGCTATTTGAAGGAATTTAAGTACCTTTTAACGCAAGTAGGTGTTCCTGTTTAGCTTGATTTACTTCCATTTTGACAGGGGAAATTGTATTTTCGGGGACGTTAGCTGCTCTGCTAGCTGTGGTTTCAGACAAGCTAGTCTGTGAACTTTGACCCTACAGGAAGCGCTTTTTCTTCTTCGTCTTTTTTTTTACGCCTTGCGCTTAAAATACTCCCAACTCCGACAGGTCGTGATGGTTTGTTTAACAGTAAAACATCACTGTATTCTTATTATTAATTGGGAAAATGTGCAGAGGATTTATGTGTTCTCACAAAAACAATATTGAATTAAATTGACCTCCAACTGAAATGTTAGTGCTGATAACTGTCGTCCGCTAGATGTCGCCGCACCCAGAAATGCGTCTTAATCTGCTTCGGTCGCCAAAAGAAGAAGTTCTCGTTACATTTAGTGCGCTGCTGCCTCTCAGCGTACGGAGCAGTTTACACTGGACCAGCTTGTCCGGGACACTAATGTTTTTTCTCTTTATTACGAACGTGTAAATGCGGTCAGTTCATCCAAAGAAATATTTATTTTGGATTTGTCTGGAGGACTGCGGAAGGCGAGACCGAAAAGATTCGAGGACGTGCGACACTTGAGAGTTTTAGCAAACAACTCCCCCATTTGCTCGCACTCCTGTCTGTCTGTTCGCTATTTGACAAGAGAGGGATTTTCTGCGGTCCGAGGAAACATGAGCTTTCTTTTGTGAGTAAGATTTACCGTCACGGATGGTTGCTTTGTCTTGTCACGTCGTTTTGTATTCGGGATGTATTGACGGAGTTAGCTTTACGCAGCCAGCCAGCTAGCAAGCTAGCGATAGCAAAAATACGGGCTGGGACTACTTGCTGGACTAACCTCCGAATGCCCGTTGTTATTCATAGTGATGTCGTTTATATTTTTAGGATAATTGTCGTATTCAACAATAGGAAATAGTAGATTGTGTGTACTGGTAATATGTTCTGGCGTTAAGCTTTTGAGAAGTATTACACTGTCCCCAGAGAACATTGTTACTAGAGAGGTTGTCAGGCCGGCTGGCGTGGATATTTGCTGGTGCGAACACTTTGTTAAAACTAGCTAATCCAGCTCCGATTTCACCCATTTGTTCCATATTGTGATATTTAACTTGGTAATCAAAAAGCCCAAAAGTGCCTTTTGGTGAGGATGTGAGTTAAAGATGGAAGAAGATGATAGAGGTTAACAACCTGACACTCAACCCCAGACAAATATAACGTTACGCCAAATAGGTTTCGGTGTTTAACGTCATCGTTTCCATCAGGCAAGGTAATAGATTCATTGGATTACGGTTAGCTGCACAATCCCATTCCAGACCTGAGTATTTTGTTTAACCATTGCTCAAACCTTTTTTATTTGATTGAAATTGTATGAAAATGATCCAGGACTCAAGACACAGATTGGTTTAAAATTGCTGTCAGTGATCCAATTAAAGGGGAGTCTGTTTTAATGTGCCGCCTACCATGTTGTGATGACTCAAACTCTTTGTTAATTACAGTTAATGGGCCTGGAAGAGGCGATTGAATACAGCACCTCCCCAAATGGCCTCATTACACACAGAGAGACGCACACCGTGTGTCCGTGTGTGCCAAACACATCAACCCAACAAGGGCTCGACTCTTTTCTTCGCTTCTTTTAAGAACATCGAGACTTTTAGTCATCAAAAATTCCGTCAGCTGGAGCCAGTGCGAATGTGATCGCATGATTTGTAATCACATCTGGCTCCTTCCTCATTTGCCAACGCCGTTTGTTCTTCCTCTTTTGAAATGTGACTCTTAGTGGAAACCGTTCATCCAAGACGTTCAAGCCCAAGAAGAATATCCCGGAGGGTTCTCACCAGTACGAGCTGTTGAAACATGCAGAGGCTACGCTGGGAAGTGGAAACCTGCGCATGGCGGTCATGTTGCCCGAGGGCGAAGACTTAAATGAGTGGGTCGCAGTCAACAGTAAGTACGGTTTTATCTTTTTTAAAACCACCTTATAGATTCAGCTTCCTGGCAGAAAGACGGCACATTCACACACCTCTATACCTGTCACCCTTTTTGTGGTTTAAAAAAGTGTGTGTGTTTGCATGCTTTGCAGTTGTCTGGTTGTCAACATGACAATAAGTCCCTATCAGGAATCCATCTGAGAGCTATCAGGGTGTAAGATCCTGGCTTTACCCCAGAAGAGTGTCTGCATTCGTGCTGGAAAAAACACTCTGAATGTTAAAGAGATTTGATCGTCTGTGCTGTGAGACACTTGTTTACATTCCTCCACATTTAAAGACAAATGTCTAGTCAGCAGCAGCTTCATTTCCTCTGGTGCCAAAGTGCCTCGAGGGATGAAAACGTTTTATTATCTGATCTGGTTTCAATGTTTAGATCACAAAATACGAAACTAAATGCATCGATAAATATGTTCATTCTTTATTGCTGTGTTTACTTTCGTGTCTGTTTTTATTTTTTTTCTGTTTTTGCATTATTGGGTAGTGAAGTATTTTTTAACCAATTGCAGTATAAAACAAGCTGAAGCTGGTTGACTTTATTTCTACACGATGTTGACAGGGAATCTTGTACATCAGTCAGTTCACACATTTTGTGTGAGACGGCTTTGCTACTTGATTGCAATATTTGTACTGTTCTTTGGTTAAAGGTCGGTGAAAGCGACTGGCTGTGACTCGGTCCTACGTGAGAGGTTTTATCTGCCGTAATAAACAGAAGTCACTGCGGGGGATTACTTCTCTCTCCGCCAAAGTTAATGCCTTTGTTTTGTTCTTGTAATGGCGGTAGAGGACGAGAGGGGGTTATGACATGCAATGACGGTCCTCAAGCATCTCTGATGTTCTGCAGCTGTCTCTCCGCATACTCCACCACGTCGGTCCACACCCACTCAAAGTGTGTCCCGGTGACGAGGACTTTGGCAGCTGTCATGGCAACATGAACGTCCATCAGTGTGGCCAAAGTGACTTCCATTACTGAAGTGGTAGAAACCTGTTTTAAGCGCTTTGACCTGGCTATGAATACACATTCACACTCTTTGGACAAAATATCTTTACTGGAGCCTGAGCGATCCTCATCAAACCTAAAAGGAAGCAGCGTTTCCCTTCACAGGACCGCACGCTGCGGCTGGTCTGTGTGTACTTTTCCTCCCCGATGAGATTAGCGGCTGGAGCACCAGCACTCTATATGGATCCCTCTGACGGAATGAGCGATAACCCAAAGTGTGCACTGGTTTACAGTCTGTACTGGGTCAGGAACCGGTGGTCGGAAGGGGGGGGGCTGTTTGTACTGGCACACAATGTATTTAGTCTCGTGTACGATTATTTTTAATACGCTTCTCTACATTTTGTTTTTCAGCTGTGGATTTCTTCAACCAGATCAACATGCTGTATGGCACCATCACAGATTTCTGCAGAGAGGAAAGCTGTTCAGTCATGTCTGCTGGTCCCAAGTAAGTTTGATTTAGAAACCCGCCCGCAGGCTGTGGGAAAAAATAACTTGGGATCCATTGTCATCAAATGTGACCGTAAATCAAATTGAAGACTTTGTTATCTTGCCCATGGAAAATACCGGCTTCCTGCTGCCACGATCAGCAGTGTTTACGTGCCGGCGTCTCGTAGGGAAAGCTGAGCTCACACCATTTACATTGAAAAGAATCCAAAAGAGAAATGGTGTTTGGTGAATCTGAACCCTGTTAAAGTGTCAGTGGGGAGGCAGCGTGAACCCCTCATCCTACGGTGTGTGTCACCCACATTCCTCCTCCAGGTACGAGTACCATTGGGCGGATGGAACCAACATCAAGAAGCCCATCAAATGCTCCGCTCCCAAGTACATCGATTACCTCATGACCTGGGTGCAGGACCAGCTGGACGATGAGACACTTTTCCCTTCAAAGATCGGTATGGATCCTCCCTCCATCCTGTCACCGTGTGCGTTTGATGCGTTCCTCACTGGTTGCTATTAATGCTCAGCTCTCAGTACGAGACCCTTAAATACACACGATCAATGCCCGTTTAGGTCTTATTACAGAACATCTGTATGTGTTGGTCTGGACGGAGCTTGAAAAGAGATCACGGGTGTGGTGTAAGGTGATGCCTTAATTGGGTCGGACGGAAACCAGCGCAGATAAATATCATTATTACATCTCAGTGGAAGTCCAGGATCTACGTTTTGTCTGCTCGGCACATCGTGTACGCAGCAGTGCTGTGGTGATGGCGACATCATCGGTTTCCAACCGCAGGCGGACGCCACGTTTCCACGAGGCGTTGCGCTCATGACAGTTTGCACTTCTCCTAATTCGTTAAAAGACCTTTTTGCAAATCAGAACGACCTACAGCGGTTTGTCATTCTGGTTTCACGGCTCTGAGCTCTGTGGCTTATTGGGATTTGTAACAGAAAAAGGAGCGGTTTGCCACGTATGAGGGCATTTTGAAATTCCTCACTACATTAAATCATTTGCTCCACCTGTTTGTATCTTTGGTGTTGTGTGAATCACATTTTCTTTTTTTTTTTTTCCCCCACAAGGTGTCCCCTTTAAGCGAAACTTTATGTCTGTGGCCAAGACCATCCTGAAGCGCCTGTTCAGGGTCTACGCTCACATCTACCACCATCACTTTGACTCCGTGATACAGCTGCAGGAGGAGGCCCACCTCAACACGTCGTTCAAACACTTCATCTTCTTTGTCCAGGTAAACCGTCCCCGGCATCTGGTCCTGGACTTGTATGTCACTCGAGTGACGCGGTATCTTGCAGCGGGTGACGTCGCTTCCGTTTTTCTCTTTCAGGAGTTCAACCTGATCGACCGCAAAGAGCTGGTCCCGCTTCAGGAGCTGATCGAAAAACTGACCACCAAGGACAGATAAACGGCCACGTAATCTTTATTTTATTGGTCTTCTAATTTTTGCACAGATACCCACCCCGCCCTGGCTGTACGTATGCAGTAGATACTATATTTCCACGCGGGGAAATGTTTTTAATAGGGCCAGGAAGAAGGAAGGATCTTGGCAGGTTTAAGGCACCGGGACTGATGCTATCAGGGATTACGCACTCGATTGAACGAACCGCAGATTAGCATATTGGAGGAAATGTTTTTTGCTGTATGGAAAGATCCCCAGTATTCAGTCATGGCTGACATCAAGGGTAACAGATGTAGGTTCATTAGTTTTCTATTCTAATGCAGAGATTCTTTCTTCTTTCACTTGGATTTATGACGACGCGCAGACATTTTCACGCTCTTGGATTCCCGTTTGAAACTTGCGTGCAGGGAAGAAGTGTGTCTGCAGAGTTGCTGTATTGTAATATTAGTATATTTGATGGTGTTATGGCAAGCAAGAATTAAAACCAGCCTTTAAGCCCGATCGCCACACTAGCTAGTTATCTTATTCATCAGTCTACATAGAAGGATCTGGGTTGCCGTCTGTTACTTTTCACATATGTAACATCTGTCAATGGAGAATAACCCTAAGTGCCTCGCACGGCTCATAATTGCCCTATTTCAACCGTGAGAGCTAGAAGAAGATAAAGGCCATATACCACTGACTTGATTGACATGTCATCAAATTTTACACGCCACCTCCTATTTTGAGGGGTTTTTTTTCTCTTTTTTTTTTTTTAAAACCATGCGCTTCACCAACATTTCTCATATTTAGTTAGAAGGTGTTTTTACGAAGTGTTGTGTGCAGGTTCTGATAAATGAATGTGTTGGAGGACATAGAAGTGAGGCTGGTATCGTCGTAGCAGGGATTCCAATTCAAATAAACCCAATAGTACAAGACTTGAAGTATAAATGCATTTCTAGGAAACGTCTTCAAGGGCTCTAAAACCTTAAATTGTAAATAAATGTCCTAATAGAAGTAGAGACCTGTGTTTTTAAAAGTCAAACCGGCCAGTTAATTGAAAAAACAAATTGGATTACGCTGCTGCATCCCGTGTTGTCTCAGCAGCCACGAAGCACTTTGAACGATTGACCTCTTTTGCCTGAATGTTTGTTCTGCACAGACGCCGCGTCACGTGACCGAGCGTAGTTTATTTCCCCCAATGAATGTCCACTAAACCCCTCAAACGGCTTTTTGGAACGGTCTGGAGCCCCTCCGATCTCAAAGTGTAGTTTACTATGCAACAATTAACGCGACACTAAAAGGTTTACCAGTCGGCTCACTCCTACTTTCTCCAAATGTTGCGTTTCCTGTTTTTCTTATCGTGCATAAATTCAGGTGTACGCTGGAAATGGAATCCTGAGATGAGGTGAGATGAACAGTTTATATATCTTTATATATCATTTGCCACAGGTGTAAGCTTCAACGCGCACATGTAAATACTGAGGGTTAGACTTGTCTTAAGGATCTTTTTTTCTTCTTTTTTCGGCGAGCATGGAGCAGTAGCTTTTGGTTTAAAGAATGCATTGAGTCTTTATAGAGGCTGCTTCCCCCCATTTGGATATTAGAATCTTGTTTGCTTTTGTTGTGGAGTGTCTCTCTTTTCCGCATCCTTCGTTAACTATTATGAATGTTACTGCTCACCAGATATGCGATAGAGTATCCGTCATCCCGGGACGCGTCTCATCCGTATGAAACGCCCACAACGTGTTGCCTACAGCTTCTTCCTCCTGGACTGAAATAATCCATGAAATGTGTGTGTGTATATAAAGGCTTAGTAGGGGTTTTCAATGCTACTGATATTGATTTATGCTGTTTACAAGGAAAATAAAGGTGGTCTTGACTCTTTGAATGGATTGTGTGTTCACTGCAGCCAACGTTGGGAAGCAAGTGCGTTTAACCTTTTACATACAAAACATCAGTTTATAAAGTAAGATGCATTTTTGAAGATTACACCAAAAGAGTTAAAATGAGATCTACATCAGCGACCATGTTAAAGTGCTTTTAGAAGCTTCAAGTAACATTTACAATACATGACTCAAGTTCTGATAGTATTTATAGATGCATATTTAAAGCGTACAGAAACATGCAGCTCTGCAGAATAGACGCTAGTACTTAATACTTCCAGTACACGGCGTTGCTTCTACCGTGATGACTGCAGGATTCTGCGCGTGTCACCGGCCGATCAGCCCTCCGCAGCGGGGGGGGGCGGGGCAGCAGCAGCTGCTGCTTCCGGCGCGCAGACCAGCTGCGCAAAAACCCGCCAAAGATTGAAACGACCAGGAAACGCTCGAGCAGCCGCGCGCGCCCGCTCGCCCGATCCGATCGATCCGCCCGCACCTGCTTACGACGCATTCTGGACCATGTCTTTCACCCCGAAGAGGCCGCGTCCCGACCCGACGAACGGACGGATTCGCCGGGTCTCGATCGAGGGAAACATCGGTGAGTGCGGCGGCCTCGTTGTGGCTGGGAGGCGCTTTTCGCTCAACGGCTTCGTCTTTCGGACGCTTGCCGGCCGGGTGACGTCAGCGGTGACGTGACGCGAGCAGACACCGGGGCCGTGATTACGGTCTTGTATTTAAAGTAACGTTAAAACGTTTACCGTCGTCCCTGCCTCTGCTAAGCTACGTGCTAACCTGCAGCATCCGATGCGCACGTTGAACATGCGTCGCCAAATGTGACTTGTTTTGTTTGTTTTGTTTCTTGTGTGTCTCTCTCCGTTTTCTGGACTCGTCCCCTCGTGTCCAGCGGCGGGCAAGTCCACGTTTGTGAGCCTCCTGGAGCAGGTGAGCGGGGACTGGGAGGTGGTGCCGGAGCCCATCGCCAGGTGGTGCAATGTCCAAACCAACGGCAGTGACTTCGAGGTACACCACGTGACGCGCCGGGACCTTTCCTAATCAAACCGCCCGCTCTGAGGACGGTTGGCTTCGGGATGTCCCCGCGGGACCACTCGTGTTGACGCTCTGCACTGTGAAGATAACGCGAGGAGGCTTCCTGTTTTTGGAGAGCAAATATATGTGTCACTGCTATATATCTATATATGCCACTGCCATACAGCCATATATGCCACTGCCATACAGCCATATATGTTACTTCTATGTATGCCATATATGCCACTGCCATACAGCCATATATGCCACTGCCATACAGCCATATATGCCACTTCTATATATGCCACTGCTATACAGCCATATATGTCACTGCTATACAGTCATATATGCCACTGCCATACAGCCATATATGCCACTGCCATACAGCCATATATGTTACTTCTATGTATGCCATATATGCCACTGCCATACAGCCGTATATGCCACTGCCATACAGCCGTATATGCCACTGCTATATAGCCGTATATGCCACTTCTATATATGCCACTGCCATACAGCCATATATGTCACTTCTATGTATGCCATATATGCCACTGCCATACAGCCGTATATGCCACTGCTATACAGCCGTATATGCCACTGCTATATAGCCGTATATGCCACTTCTATATATGCCACTGCTATACAGCCATATATGCCACTTCTATATATGCCACTGCTATACAGCTATATATGCCACTTCTATATATGCCACTGCTATACAGCTATATATGCCACTTCTATATATGCCACTGCTATATGTCACTGCAAGAGATATATATATCTCTGTCACAGCTATGACCTCCCACACTGCTGCAGGCGCAGCCCCACGATATATATGTCACATATCACAGCTTTGAGATCCAGGTTCAGCAGTAGAAACGAATAAATGTCAAATAAGATGGAACATTAGAGTAAAGTTGCATCAAACGTGTAAAGCGGTTTCTTTTGGTGCCGTTTTGAGCCCTGCGAAGTGGCTCAGTGCTGCACACTGGTTTCCAGTGTAAAATGAGAGCACGTTGATATTTTCAGTATGAACGACTGTCAGGAGTCCTCTTCGACAACTCTTTATAATAAAGTGTGCACAGCTGCGTCAGGTCAAACTCGTCTGCCCTCCGCTCATATAATTAGACGGATTCCCTCATGATGCAATGAGCAACATTAAGAAAAGGCTCCTTTTTAAATTTGATTTTTAACGGATTTACAAACGTGGATTTATTTATCGGGAGTTTGTACTTTTAACGCACACATTTTTTTGAAATCCCCCTTAATTCCTTCTGTTTTTAGGAGCTGACCACATCTCAGAGGAGCGGAGGGAATGTGCTGCAGATGATGTACGAGGAACCGGAGAGATGGGCCTACACCTTCCAGAGCTACGCCTGCATCAGCCGGGTGCGAGCGCAGATCAAGTCGGCCAATGGGAAGCTCCGGGAGGCGGAGAACCCCGTCCAGTTTTTCGAGCGGTCCATCTACAGTGACAGGTATCAGTGACAGGAACACGCACCTTGTGGAGTTTTAATTTGATTTAAGACTATTTCATGGAGAAGTGTTTTTTTACATTTTTTTTGGTCAGAAATAATCTATTCGATCCATTCTCGATGGACAAAATGACCACATTCACTCCATTGCCCAACAATGCAGTCGGGTCTAAAAACGTTTCTGTGATGTGGACGCTGCGGATGCTGCAAGCTGACCGTGTCGTGTCCCAGGTACATCTTTGCAGCCAACCTGTATGAGAGGAAGTGCCTGAATGAGACGGAGTGGTCCGTCTACCAGGACTGCCACGGCTGGCTGCACAGCCAGTTCGGGAAGCACCTCGAGCTGGACGGGATCATCTACCTCCGAGCTTCGCCAGAGGTACTCCCCCTCCCTCTCATGGGGATGTCTTCACCTCGGCCCCCTCGGAAAAGAACCAAACCGACCTGCTCCGTTTGCTTTCGTTGCGTGTGCAGAGATGTTTTGAGCGGCTGCACCTGAGAGGCAGAGAGAGAAGAGCAGGACATCCCTCTGGAGTACCTGGAGGAACTCCA